ATACATCCTTGTCCTTACTACTGCTGATCTTGATGTGTTTGTATCCTAATTTCAAAGACTCTTTTTCCCTTTCTAAACTGCCCTATTGCCTTTTTCCCTCTACTGATTCAATGTTTTATGCCACATTTAGAAATGTGTGGTTTCATCTTTGATGTATTGATTTTCAATCAATTACTGTATATACTCGAGTATAAGCCTAGGTTCTCAGCCCTCTTTTAGGCAGAAAAAGCACCCCTTGGCTTATTCTCGGGTGAGGGTCCTGACAGGAAGGCATAGGGCTGAAATAAGGGCTTCTTTCAGCCCCACACCTTCCTGCCAGGACCCTCACCTCTCCGCACAGCAACCCAGCTCTCCTTCCTCTCTCATGCAGCATGCATCTTCTCCTCCTCTCTCGGCGCAGCGCACACCTTCCTCTCCTCCTTTCTCGGCGCCGGTCTATCCCATTTTTCCTTATTCTTATACACCCAGAATTTCCCCCAAAATGTATAGTTAAAATAAATTATGGCGATTATTAGAAGGATAGATGAAGGTAAAGGTTTCCCCCTGACATTAAGTCCAGTCATGTCCAACTCTGGGGGGGGGGGGGGGGGGGGGGGTTGGTGCTCATCTCCATTTCTAAGCCGAAGAGCCAGCATTGTCCGTAGACACCTCCAAGGTCATTACTGCATGGAACTCTGTTCGAAGGACATATAAGCACATTTACATCAAAGAAGTTTAGAATAATGATTTAATCAGAGTTGGACAGTCTTATCTTAAATTATAGTTTATGTAAATATTCAAAAACCTACTGATGCCTCAATTAATGTAATTTTATTGTCATCTGTTTTTATTTTGCAATTTACCAGTAGTTGCTGCATTTCCCACCCTTGGCTTATATTTAAGTCAATAAGTTTTCCCAGTTTTTGGTGGTAAAATTAGATGCCTCGGCTTATATTTGGGTTGGCTTATACTCAAGTATAAACAGTAATTAATAACATGTGGGCAAGACACCTCGTAGACACGACTTAAATCTAGAAATAGTTTTCTAAGATCTACAGAGACACTCGCTGGAACACCTCAGCAAGCGAGAGTCCAAAAGTGGCAGGCTCAAACCCAGCACCTCAATCCATGGCTGATACCAGATGAGAGACTCCCCCCTGGGCACACAGAGAACTGGGCGACTTGGAAGGCACTGAACAGACTGCGCTCTGGCACCACGAGATGCAGAGCCAACCTTAAGAAATGGGGCCACAAAGTGGAATCCACGACATGCGAGTGTGGAGAAGAGCAAATAACTGACCACCTGCTGCAATGCAACCTGAGCCCTGCCACAATCACAATGGAGGACCTTCTTGCAGCATCACCAGAGGCACTCCAAGTGGCCAGATACTGGTCAAAGGACATTTAATCAACTACCAAACTCGCAAATTTTGTATTTTGTCTGTTTGTCTGTTTTGTTCTGTTAGAAATGTAATACAATTGACTGGTTGCCCTGACACGACAAATAAATACCTCGTAGATGATAGCTTGAATGCTGCAGATGTGAAGGAGTAGAGTTTGCAAGAATGACTTATTTGGTCTCCGACTCCCAGAATTCCCCAGACACAATAGCTAGTGGCCATACTGGCTGGAGGACTGTCTAGTGTGATCCAGAAAAGTGTCATTTCTGAGCTTTGCAAAGAAAACTGCCTGGCCCTGTTCTTATGGTTGAAGGACACAACAATGAGACGGGTCCAGACCATGGAGGCAATAGTCATTTCCATATTGCTTCTCATTAGAACCTAAAGCAGTGGTTCTCAACCTGTGGGTCCCCATGTGTTTTGGCCTTCAACTCCCAGAAATCCCAGCCAGTTTACCAGCTGTTAGGATTTATGGGAGTTGAAGGCCAAAACATCTGGGGACTCACAGGTTGAGAACCACTGGTCTATGGGCAGGATACAACATTGTCATTCTACTGAAGGAACTGTTTCCATCAGAGAAACCAGGAGCTAGGAATGTCCCATCAAAATAATGGATGTTCCCTAGTGAGATGCAGAATTAAAATCTTCTTTCCCTGTACTATGTTGTTTTTCAAGTTTTCATTCCATTTAGTGTATGTAGGTTATACTGGGTGGGCAATGATCTTGGGGCCTGGAATGTCACTTTGAGTCTCTTTAATGGAGAGCAAAACTGGGGAATAATAATAATAATAATAATAATAATAATAATAATAATAATAATAATAATGTCATATCCTCTGTAAGCTTTCCATCCCCACAATGAACAAAAATACATGTTTTACCTCTGTCCTTTCCCAAATGGTAATGCATCATTCTCAGTTACCATCTTGAGAAGGTTGTAAACCAGTGGTTCTCAACCTGTGGGTCCCCAGATGTTTTGGCCTTCAACTCCCAGAAATCCTAACAGCTGGTAAACTGGATGAGATTCCTGGGAGTTGTAGGCCAAAACACCTAAGGACACACAGGTTGAGAACCACTGACCTAAAGGAAAAGGCAAAGAGTAGACACTCTTCTTGTTTCTTGTATATGTTTTTCAGATCCATGGCAGCTTGTTAACTTTAGTATTCAAGAAGCTGTGTTTGCTAAAAAATTCCAGTATGGATTGTGGAGGGGAGTCACTTACTTAGTCAATCAATTAACTTTATTACATGGATACAGCCCCCAGACTAAAAGCTTACAGAATTGCAGAGTGGTATTGCCAGAAACTCTATTCTCTGATTAGGTTTTCTACATGACCTATGTTAATTGACCTATCAATATGTTGATTGTAACTGGTTGAAAGCTTTATTGCGTGATGTTAACACTGGATCTTTTTTATTGTGCTTTGTGGTGTCTCCACTTGTTTACCTTTATTCTGTTTCTCCTCTCGCACTGTTTTTCATTCTCTTATTTTAAAAGAATATAAAAAATGCAAAATGGTGACGAGGCCACTAGTTTTATTCACTTTCAGTAATAGCAAACCCTTTTGTAGGTTCATTGCCTTGGCAACCATATTGATTGTGATAGCCACCAGAACGGAGGATCAATCTATCAGTAGTTTGAACATGATGAGCCAATTCTCTAATATATATTCTTGCATCATACCCATTAATCAGTGTTTCTCAACCTGGAGGTTGGGATCCCAGCGGGGGTTGCGAGGGGATCTTGGAGGGGTCGCCAAAGACCATCAGAAAACAAATATTTCTGACTAGCTGTCCCCTGCCACACGTTGCTGTGGCCCAGTCTGTGTATATGTGCTTTGTGTGTGTATATATTTGTGTATATATGTATATATGTGTGTTTGTGTATATATATGTGTGTGTGTGTGTGTGTGTGTTTGCGGATGCGTTGTAATGTATTTTTATTTTTTGGCTTTTTTTGTCTCTTCCGCTGTGTTTTTCAGTGTTTTTATGAGTGGCCTGATATGTGTATTTTTCCCCCAAATTTGGTGTCAATTCGTACAGTGGTTTTTGAGTTATGTTAATTCCACAAACGAACATTACATTTTTATTTATATAGATGGCCTTAGGAACCCCTTTGGCAAAAAAGGCTGAAGATCTCTCTGCCAGTCCTCCTCTTCCTTTTTGGTGTTGGTGAACTACAACTCCCAGAATTCAAAAACAAGTTTGGTGCAGATCCATTGTGGGCTGGGTTCAGAATGCTCTTTGATTGTAGCTGAACTATAAATCCCAGCAACTACAACTCCCAAATGTCAAGGTCTATTTTCCATCAGTGTCCACATTTGGATGTATTGAGTATTCGTGCCAAGTTTGGTCCAGATCCATCATTGTTTGAGTCCACAGTGTTCTCTGCAAGGAGGTGAACTACAACTCCATGCTCAATGCCCACCAAACCCTTCCAGTATTTTTTTCTTGGTCATGGGAGTTCTGGTGCCAAATTTGGTTCAATTCCCTCGTTGGTGGGATTCAGAATGCTCATTGATTGTTGGCTAAATATAAATCCCAGCAACTACAACTCCCAAATGTCAAGGTCTATTTTCACCAAACTCCACCAGTATTCAAATTGGTGGTATTGGGTATTTGGGCCAAATTTGGTACAAATTCACTTGTTCCACAACTAGCATTTATAGCAATGTTTCTCAACTTGGAGAGGTCATGAGGGGGTGTCAGAGGGGTCACCAAAGACCATCAGAAAACACAATATTTTCCATCGGCCATGGGGGTTCTGTATGGGAAGTTTGGCCCAGTTCTCTAATTGGTGGGGTTCAGAATTCTCTTTGATTGTAGGTGAACTATAAATCCCAGCAGCTACAACTCCCAAATGTCAAGGTCTATTTTCCCCAATCTCCACCAGTGAATATATTGAGTATTCATACCAAGGTTGGTCTAGATCCATCATTGTTTGAGCCCACAGTGCTCTCTTGAAGTATGTGAACTAAAACTCCAAAACTCAAAGTCAATGCCCACCAAACCCTTTTAGTATTTTCTCTTGGTCATGGGAGTTCTGTATGCCAAGATTGCTTCAATTCCATTGTTGGTGGAGTTCAGAATGCTCTTTGGTTATAGGTGAACGATGAATCCCAGCAACTACAACTCCCAAATGACGAAATCAATCCCCTCCCTCCAACCCCAACAGTATTGGGCATCTTGGGTATTTGTTCCAAATTTGGCCCAATGAATGAAAATACATCCTGCATATCAGATATTTACATTACAATTCATAACAATAATAAAATTACTATTACGAAGTAGTAATGAAAATAATTTTATGGTTGTGGGTCACCGCAACATGAGGAACTGTATTAAAGGGTCACGGTATTAGGAAGGTTGAGAAACACTTCATTAATATGGTTTTTCAACAAGGTGGTCTTCGTAGCCCATAGCCAGGAAAGGCAGCAGAATAGAAGACAATAGCCGCCAGGGAAACACAGGCAGAGATGTGTTTTACATTCTGGGCAGTGCCACTAAATGGTTGGCACCGTATAAATGCCAAATTATAATCATTATGTTATTGTTCCACCTGTCAGAGCAGGTGAGTGAGTGACTCTCTCTTAATAATTCTCTCCCTTCTGCTTCTTCCCAGACGGAGTGACCCCGTGGGCCGACCACACTCCTGGCATTCAGCCAAGTTCATCGAGAACCAATCTGATCTCAGTATGATGCAAATATCTCAGGGTATGATTGGCAGTCCTTGGCACCAAGCCTACCATTCCAGGTAAGCCTTGCAGCGCCTTGGCCACAAACCGGCCTCCAAGAAATGGGGGTATTGTTCGCTTCCCAAACAAGGAAGAGAACATTTTCTTCTTCGCTCTGAGCAATAATCTACTGCATTCATACACAACCTTTATTTTTTTTTCACCCAAAGCTTCTGGGCATTAGCTGCAGAACAAGAAGCATAGTACTTCAGGCAGTTGCCCTCAACTATTCTGCAAAATGTGGAAGGCCTGGACAGCGTGTCCAGCGTGCCCAGCATTCATTCCTGGTTGCAGGATCTTGCTGAACTTGTTCTTGGGCCATGTTTTGGTTGTGTTGAAACACTCAGCTACAGAACAGTAAACAAGGCTATGTATATGCAGCACTGAAATCAAAATGAAACTGAATTTGCAGTGGACAAATACAAATGTTTTACATTTGCTTTGAATATTATTTTTTTTTGCATAATATATCGTGCTTGTGTTAGTCTTTGAAAATGTGCTCAGCTTGCAAAAGCATGTATATGTGGGGAATATCATAGCTGATTACAGTGGGTTTTTAGTATCGAGTAGGGATTGGTTTCAGAAACCCTTGAGTACCAAAATCCATGGATGCTCGTCCCATTATATACAATGGATTGTAAAATAGCATTCCTTGTATACTTAAAATGCTGAACAATTCAAATAGGCGCCAGAGGATCTGTGAAATGTCAGGCGACTACTGCAGGGTATGTCTGCACATCAGTATAGTGCTTAATGTGCAGTAATAATATGCTTTTTTTGGAATTTTTTTCAAATATAAACAAGCCATGGTTGATTGAATCTGTGGATGCAGAACACATGTATATGAAGGGTCAATTCTGCATGGAAATGCTGCACATTCCATACTCCGTGTTTCCAGTTATTTATATACACACATAGATACCACCCTTCGGTGATGCAGCAGGCTAAATCACTGAGCTGCTGAACTTGCTGACCAAGAATTCGGCGGTTCGAATCCAGGGAGCAGAATGAGCTCCCACTGTTAGCCCCAGCTTCTGCCAACCTAGCAGTTCAAAAACCTGCAAATGAAAGTAGATCAATTGATACCACTTCTGCAGGAAGGTAATGGCACTCCATGTAGTCATGCTGGCCACATGACCTTGGAGGTGTCTATGGACAGTGCCAGACTTTCAGCTTAGAAATGGAGATGAGAACCACCAGCCAGAGTCAGACACGATTAGACTTAAGGGAAAACTTTTACCTTTACTGTGGTTGATTGAATCTGTGGGTGCAGAATTCGTATGGATGGAGGGCAAATTCTGCATGGAAATGCTGCACATTCCATACTCCATGTTTCCAATTATTTACACACACACATAGCTACAGCGGGTTCTTAGTATCCACTGTGGTTTGATTCCAGGATCGTAGGTACCAACATCTGTTGATTCTCAAGACTCATTATATACAATGGCATAGTAAAACAGCATCCCTTATATAAAGTGGCAAAATCAGGATTTGCTGTTTGGATATATACATATATATCTCCAAGTTGGATGGTTGACTATGGATGCAAAATGCATGGTTATGTCAATCCAGAGTCTGTGGTTATGGGCAAGGGTTATTCAAGGAGTGGAAAATAACACACCTGCAAAGTGTTAGTGATATTTCCTGCTTCTTACATAAGGTAAAGGTAAAGGTTTACCCTGACATTAAGACTAGTCATGTCCGACTCTTGGGGGTGGTGCTCATCACCATTTCTAAGCCGAAGAGCCGGCGTTGTCCATAGACACCTCCAAAGTCATGTGGCCGGCATGACTGCATGGAGCGCCGTTACCTTCCCGTAGAAGCGGTACCTATTGATCTACTCATATTTGCATGTTTTCGAACTGCTAAATTGGCCAAAGCTGGGGCCAACAATGGGAGCTCACCCCGCTGCTCAGATTCAAACCACTGACCTATTGGTCAGCAAGTTCAGCAGCTCAGTGGTTTAACTCACTGCGCCACCCAGGTGCCTTGCTTTTGACATATGTATAGCCAAATCCTCAGCCTTTCCATCTGTTTATACATCTTCCATTTCTGGCCATTTCTGATTCTCAGTATTGAGATGGTGCCTCTCCCTCCTCCACGACTGAGCCACTGGAATGTCAAGCCTCCTGTGAAAGCGAAATACTGGCACCAGGAGTAATTTATTAAGATCAAAGGAGGCATGGGATTGGAAAGCAGGAAGAAACTCTAGGATTACAAGGAAGGAGGGGAGGGAGGGGGGCCACTTCATTTGGGACGTGCGTTCCCTTTCTCTCCTTCTCCATGACACCCTCTCACAGATCATCTGGCAGAGCCATTCATGCATCTTTTTCTTTTTTGGCCGTAGCCTGGCACACATTCCAGGCCCCAGAGTTGTGCTCTCTGTGTCATAGATCCCCTGTCAACGTTGCCCCTTTCTCCAGGTGTTTCCACTCTGCAGAACGCCAGTGGCACCTAGCGGCCAGATTGCCAGCCCTCCTCCTTTGGTACCTGTCATCCGTAATAGATGAGAGCTCTGCAGCTCTCTGTTGGAGAGGTCAAACTCTCAGGGACTGAAATTATTCATCTCTTTGTTTGGAAAGACCACAAATGGCACAAACAGCTGAGGAAATTAACTTTTAAACAAGAAGAATGACTAGTTTTGTTTATGCTGTTCGTCCTTTTCCTCATCTCTTCTGCCCTGGTTTCTTTCTCATTCTCTGTACTCCTACTTTGCCTCACAAAGCTGTTCAATCCCAGGACAATTAGCTTGCAGCATTTTTCATTTTTCCCTTTATATGTGGTCTTTTTTGTCTGGTGGGGAAGTCAGCCTTAGTTTGGGAGCCATTAGTTGTGGAACAGGAAGAAACACACCTCAAAGTGTGATCGTTGAGAAGAATTGCTTTGGTCTCCTTGTTGTTCCAAGTCTTTATAATTGTCAAAACAGAAGGTGGAGGTCAAGGATCAAGTGCATTTAAATACCCAAGGGGGATTTCTTAGGTCAGGATAGGCTAGGTGAAGTTCACTTAGCATGAAGATACCAATTCACTTTGAGACTGCTTTCATGCTCTGAAACCATGGTAGTTGTAGTTTCAAAGTCGTTCTAGATTGTGCTCAGATCCCTTTTGAGGCTCAGCACAGTTCAGAATTGGCCAGTTTTTGTCCCACTGAGTTGCAGGCCTTTTCTGCAATTCCACATTACCAAAATGAACTGAGATTTTAGAAGGTTTTGTATAGTCAGTGTTTCCCAACCTGGCAGTTGTGACCCCTAAGGGGGGGACATGAGGGGGTGTCAGAGGGGTCACCAAATACCATCAGAAAACACAGTATTTTCTGTTGCTCATGGGAGTTCTGTGTGAGAAGTTTGGCCCAATTCTATTGTTTGAACTTGCAACCTATCTGTTGATAGATCTTATAGTTGCTGATGATTTACCAGCTGTGCTAAACCTCCGGCCCTTGAGTCCGCAGTGCTCTCTGGATATAGGTGAACTACAACTCCAAAACTCGAGGTCAAGACCCACCAAACCCTTCCAGGGTTTCCTGATGGCCATGGGAGTTCAGTGTGCCAAGTTTGGTTCACTTCCATCCAGTGTTTTCTGTTGGCCATGGAAGTTCTGTGTGCCAAGTTTGGTTCAATTCCATCATTGATGGAGTTCCAGAATGCTCTTTGTTGGTAGGTGAACTATAAATCCCAGCAACTACAACTCCCAAATGACAAAATCAACCCCCCCCCCATCCCACCAGTATTCAATTTGGGCATATTTGGTATGAAAACACATCCAGCATATCAGATATTGCCATTATGATTCATAACAGTAGTAAAATGATAGTTATGAAGTAGCAACGAAAATAATGTTATGGTTGGGGGTCACCACAACATGAGGAACTTTATTAAGGGGTCGCGGCATTAGAAAGGTTGAGAACCACTGGCCTAAGGTGACATTGAGATATACGGGATACATGGTTTCCAAGCTTCCTGGTCACAATATGAGGTGAATGAATCATCTTCTTGTGATGTTAATTCATTGTTCCAGTTTTTACTTATGACGACTAGCAATAATGGCTTGGTGTAGTTGGTGGTAAGAGATGCTGGGACATGAAGATAAAATGTTCTTCATCTTAACAGTAAGTCAGACTGTTTTTAAGGCTGGCTCATCTTCCGGTTGCCCAAGATGATATGAGTCAAAGAATCAAAGAAACCTTCAAAAAGGGAATGACAACTGGGTGGTTCATGCCTTTCTCCCTGTCTGTGAGCCTCCTTGACAAGTCGTGTTGTCATGTTGTTTATGCAACAGCCTTTGAGACCTTTGACAGTGCAACTCTTTCCATGATGAGAAACTCAGTTGGTGCCTTTTTAGAACCGCTTTGGTTCCTTGCATTCTGCCCTCCCTCATCCCTCACGGCCTCTTTTCCTGTCATGTCTGTTTAGTTTTCTCACAGCAAACAAAATGTCTCCAGTCCAGTTGGAGTTTCCAGGAAGACTGCCAGGATGTAGCCTTCACCTCCATAAAAAGAAAAGCAATGAGAAAAAGAAAAAGAAAGGCAGAGAGAGAGAGAGAGAAAATTCCTTGAACTTCTCTTACTTTATTGCTCTTCTCTCTCTCCTTGTCTGTCTTACACTCATGATGTCTGGATATTTTGGTGATGTTTATGATGCTTTAGATGGATCGCAATGGGTGGAGTAGTCATGCTTGGACTTCCCTGCAAAGCAATCGGCCTCCGTCTATTTTTTTCCTTTCCCATCCTAGTGATAAATAAGAGACATATGTTGCAATGTCAAATGGCTCTTCCTAGCAAATCAGGATGACTACAGACTTAGAAAAGAGTGAGGCCCAAATATGGGTTTTCTTCTGTTCCTCTAAAAACTAAACATATCCCTCAGAGTCCCTTTATAAGCCAGTACAGCTCTGTCTCTGGATGGCGTGTTGAAACTAACTTCTGGTCTCTCTCTCTCTCTCTCTCTTTCTTTCTTTCTGGTTCTCCCAAATCCAGTTCCTCCACAAGTGATCTTTCCAGCTATGACCATGGCTATCTAAGAAGAAGCCCTGACCAATACAGCTCCAGGGGGAGCATGGAGAGCTTGGACCACACCCCTGCAGGGTACGCCCAACACCCCTGCCACCTCTCGCCTGCCAAATCAACCAATAGTATTGACCAGCTTGCCCATCTCCACAGCAAGAGGGATTCAGCGTACAGCTCTTTCTCAACCAACTCCAGCATCCCTGAATATGCAGCCCCCGCCTTCTGCAAGGAGCGGTCCTACTCTATGGAGAATGTGCATTCCCGAGGAAGGCCGCAGGAGGGAGGAATGCGGCAGGCGGATATCAGGTACATTAAAACTGTCTACAATGCCCAGAGAGGGGTTTCAGAAGAGTATGAGGTCAAGTCTTCTGCTCTCCTGCCAAGCTGTGAAGCCCAGGCAAAAGGTTACAGCTCCAGCAGGTTTCATGGGTCCCACAAAGGTCCACAAACCCGGAGTTCGTCTGACAGCGAAAGCCTGTGTATGAAGGCTCCTCCCCTGCCACCAACCCGTAGTGATAGTTATGCAGCAATAAGGCACCATGAGAGGCCCAGCTCCTGGTCAAGTCATGAGCATCGGAAGTCGTCTAGGACTCATCCCAAAGGCGCTTGGTGTCATCTGGGCCAAGGCACTCCTCCTCCCGGACAGCTCCAGAAATCTGCATTTTTAGAAGGACAGCTCCACACCGTGATAGAGAAGAGCCCTGAGAGCAGTCCCACTGTGAAGCCCAAGCAGGTCTACTCACAGGCAGCTCAGCCAGGCCAACCATTGCTTCCGACTGGTGTTTATCCTGTTCCCTCACCTGAGCCACACTTTGCTCAGGTCCCTCACCCTTCTGCAAACAATAGTGGGATGCTTTATCCAGCACTTGCCAAAGAGAGTGGGTATGCACCACCCCCTGCTCCTTCTCCAGCTTCCTACGAAAAGGCTGCTCCCTGTAGGCCACATTCTGGCTTGGATGAGAATGGAAACCAAAGCATTCCTAACAAGGCTGCCATCTTCTACCAACCTGAATATATGCCACCAGTGTCAGGGAAGAAGAAAGAGGTGGGTGATGCTGCTTCAAAATTTGCCTTGTACAGAAGTCATCCTCAAGCCTATGCGACATCTCCAAGACAAGATGAGTCAGAGCCCTCCCACAAGCCAGCATCTGTCATCCAGGAGAACATAAGAAATACTCAACTTTCAAACCACAGTCCTCAACCCTGGTTGTCCCAGCCAACGTATGTGAATGACGGGAATCATTCTTTTCAATCAAAAGACTGTGGTTCAGAAGAGCAGCTAGAAGATAAGAACCCTAACCATCAGAGAGATTTCACAACACAGAACCAGTGGAGCTCTGGTAAGACCAAGCAATATGGCTTTTCCTCCTTGCAAAACATCCCCGAGAGCACCAAGTTGCAAAACAACATGGAACTGAAGGAGGTGCGGCCAGGTAAAAGTTATGCTGGTGCCAAATGGCATTTTATCAATTATAGTAGCCAAGAAGAGAAGGAAAACCAAGGACATCTCCCTGAATACTGGCAGGACCAAGAATGGCAAGGCTTAGAAGTAAGTTGGGATGCCACAGAGCATCCCCATGGTTTGGAGCCAAAGTATGAGGAGCCCTCTTCATTGCCCCCAAAGTCATCAGATTTTGGCATTCGGCGGCTCAGTTCTAGCAGCACCCAAAGCATTCAGAACTCTCAGTATGGGAGAATGGAACCCAGGAATGCCCGGTGTTCTGTTCTAGAAAAGGTTAGTAAGATAGAGCAACGTGAACAAGGCACTCAGCGGCCACAAAATTTGAGTTCAAACTGCTTTGGTCAGAATTATGTGTCCAACAAGCCTAGCCTGAATTCTGTTGAGGAGATCCGAAACAGGCATAACTCCCAAGAGCATGGCCAGTTTCTTGATGAGCATGGCAGAATGGCCAATGCAAACAGCTCAGGCCAGAACCCTTATATGCACCATCCAAATGAGAGAGGGACTGGCAAAGCGGAGAGGGCTAACTGGCATTCTTCAGAGCAGCAGATGTCAGCAACAACGATTGTGTTAGCAGTGTCACCAGAGCAGAATATCTATCATGGTGGGCCTTCTGAAAACCAGTCTGGGCATCTGCAACGAAGTAGAAGTACGTTCCAGTTGGTGGAGGAACCTGAGAGGGAGATTGTATGGAAAGTTAATGTCCAGGACGTGAACAACTCTCAGCTGGACATTCCCTTTAACAGGGCATACAGGAATAGTATTAAAGATGCCCAGTCAAAGGTTTTGAGGGCCACCTCCTTCAGGCGCAAGGACCTCAACATTAACCCTCCAGTTGGAAAGGAGGCAAAAAGGCGTGTACAGAGGCCGGCTTCAGCACACCTTGGGATGCGGAGCAGTGCGGCTTCCCCACATACCCCAAAGGAGAGACATAGCATTACACCAACAGAGACAAAAATGGATTATACTCATAAAGAGAGTGTCCCCGGGCCTCAGCACGTACCTCGTATTGGGAGTCGGAAGCGCCTGACAGCTGAACAGAAAAAGAGGTCGTACTCTGAGCCAGAGAAGATGAATGAAGTGGGAGTTTCCGACTCTGAGCTTTCTCCTTTCTCCCTCCAGAAGCAAGTTCTCCAGTTTGTTTTTCCAGAGAACACAGTGGCTGACAGACGCAAGATCTTTGAGCGGGAGAACAAGACTTGCTCTACCATCAACCTTTCCAAGCCAGAATTGAAGCAGCTCCAGCAAAATGCGCTCGCTGATTACATTGAGCGCAAAACTGGGAAGCGCCCCTCTTCTGCATCCCAGGATACCAGCCTCCCACATGAAGGTTCTCAGATGCCATACTTCCAGACAAGTGGCCAAGATGGTCAGTCTCTGTCGTCATCTTCTAGCATTAATTCTCTTCAGGACCAAAATCTTTACCATCACAGGGAGTCACTAGATCGGGTGTCTAGAACAGGGCGCGGCATTGTTACTCTCCCTCCTGGGCTCACAGGCTGCTTTGATCTCCATGAGTTTGACAAGAAGAAGAAGACATCCCACCGAAACAGCAGCGGTAGCAAGAGCTCTTTTCCCAATTGGCTGAAAGCAGATCGACACCATGAGCACAGAGCCAATTTGGAGCTCAGCAAAAGCACTCAGACTGATCTTGAGATATGTGACCAGCCGTGCCCTGATCACCAACCCCGGGAGAAGAAAGCACACAGCAAGAAGCCTGGGAAGTCAGCCTCTGCAGAGGACTTGCTGGACAGATCCGAAAACCAGGCGGTCGCTGTCCATGTCCGTTCCAGGTCGTCCCCCAGTGCAGATAAGAAGTGCCAGGTATGTAGAGGATTCTTTGATGTTACCTTTGTCATCTGTTGGTTGGTTGTTGATTCCTCTGTTTTGGGGGGTTATTGTGAAGTGGAACAGAACTGAACTGATTGCATTTAGAAGCTACTCTGTCTTTTGCTGTATCCTAAGGGAGTCTCACATTTATGTAGGACCTTTTGTTTTCTAATATTGGAATTATGGTTATTGTGGGTTCAACCCACAGTGATCATCTCTAGAACATTCCACATTTAAGTGACTGGCAATTATGCTCACCTGTCATTCATTTTCATGGTGATTTGACAGAAAATTTTATCATATTACTTCTGTATTGTTTTTTTTCAATCACATGAGTATTGTTGTTCGTCAAGGTTTCATACGCACTTCACTCACACTTATAGAAGGGCAATTTTGGATACAGTTAGATTTTGGATATCATAGAAACACACAATCCTGGAGGTAGAAAAGACCCCCAAGGTCATCCCGTCCAACTCCTTGCCATACAGGAATACACAATCAAAGCACTCCCGACAAATATGGCAGTTCTCCAGCCTCTCTTTGAAAGCCTCCTTAGAAGACAACAGCCTATTTCACTGTCAAACAGCATTTCCTGTTTGGAAGTTTTCCTAACTTATAAAGAGTTCATAGCTATAGTGATTGGTTCAAATTAACCGACCAAGTTTAAGGAACATCTGTGTATTTGGCTCAAGGTCTCTCCATTTCAAATTGGAGATAGTAGCCATCTTGCACACTGATTGTGCAAATGGCTGTGATGTAAACAATCTGACAGTTTCACCACTTGTGCTGAGAGGTGTACAAGACCTTCATGGGCAAAACAAAGGTTCAACAGCAGTAACAACCACCATCATATGGTCTTAGCCATTTATTGTACAAGTGTACCATTAGCAGAAGAAAGAGTAACCCTCTGGTACACAGTTCCTATTGCAGGGTAACTCAGGCATGACCACACTTTGGCCCTCCAGGTGTTTTGGACCTTAACTTCCAAAATTCCTAACAACCTATCGGCTTTTAGGAATTGTGGAAGTTGAAGTCCAAAACACCTGGAGAGCCAGAGTTTGCCCATGCCTAGGGTAACTGTTTGCAGAGTCTTGTAGGTAAAGGTAAAGATTATCCCCTAACATTAAGTCCAGTCATGTCTGACACTGGCGTTGGTTCTCATCTCCATTTCTAAGCTGAAGAGCCGGCGTTGTCCATTGGCACCTCAAAGGTCATGTGGCCTGCATGACTGCATGGAGCACTGTTACCTTCCCGCCGGAGCGGTACCTATTGATCTACTCACATTTGCATGTTTTCAAACTGCTAGCCTGGCAGAAGCTGGGGCTGACAGCGGAAGCCCACGCCGCTCCCTGGATTCAAACCTTTCGGTCAACAAGCTCAGCAGCTCAGTGGTTTAACCCACTGTGCCATCGGGTTTTACAATATCTAATTGACTTATTTTTAGAATTATTAGAAAATTATTAGAAGGATGACTTGGAAAATCTCCTGTCTAGCAAGTACAGGTGGATTCTGAAGCCATTCTTCCCATAGTGAATTCTGGAGATTCCTCTTGAGCCAGGCTTTACAGAGGCAAGCAGTCCTAGATAGATCTGGCTACCAGTATTAAAAAACTCAAAAATTACAACAGCAAAACAACAGAGAGGAAACAATCAGGCACATCATATCACTCTCAACAAAAATTTCCCCCAGGCACTTCCAAGCCATTAAATGCTAATCAAGGTGGTCAGTTGAAACATTCACACCTAGCTCCAGCAGACAAAAGTCCTTTGTTTCACCCTGGTCTTTCCATAGATATATAAACCCATTTTCCTACTTCCAATAGACCTCACTACCTCTGAGGATGCTTGCCATAGATGCAGGCAAAACGTCAGGAGAAAATGCCTCTAGAACATGGCCATATAGCCTGGAAAAACCTACAACAACTCAGTCCTAGATAGAGCTTACCCAGGTGTTGTGCTCCTGCAAAACAGAATAGCATCACGTTCCGGATCCCCATGTTCTGCACTCTCTCTCAAATGGTCTTACCCTGACAACAAAGCACTTTCCCATTAGCTGTGCACCCAGCTGCTGTTTTGTTAGCTTGTTTTCCGTTTTGTTAATTCGCAAAGCACAGTTTGGGAGAACAATCCCCTCTGCCTGCTGAGCGTGTTTAGAGCAACAGCAGTAAATAAGATTCAGGAGGCAAAACACATATAAAGGAGTGTTTTCCCACCACCATCAGGTGCTTCATCAGGCAATCTGGAAAACCATTTGCTGACACAAAGAGCCCTCCTAGGACCAAATTGTGAGCCGCCTCATTTGTGGTCTTTTGTTGTTTTCCTTTCCTCTTGGCTTCCCTTTGCCCCTGCTTTGGGTGCATTAGGTGGGTTGCTAGGCTACCCTTAGGGCAGAAGCCACAAAACCTCTATTATGAAAACATGATAGGATAAATAGCAGAACAGATAATTAAGGAGGGAAAATGCTTCAGCATCGGCCAGAATCTGTTCACCAGACCACCAAATGTCTTGCAAATCCCTGGTTTGGATGTAAATGTTTTAAGCTGCTCCTTTGTCAGCTTTATCTGACTTTTCGGTTTTCTTGACCTGCTTCTACTGGAGTCCTTGTTGGTGTTTCCAGCATTCAACTGAATTGGCTCCTTCTTTATTGTAAAGTATAAAGGGCTTTAACTAAAGGGGTCTTAGTAGCCAACTATGCACATTTGGGAGGCACTCTCCATTTTGAATTGCTGATCTTTTTATTAGCCTTCCTCTTGTTTCTGTTCACAGCAGCTTGACATGCCAGCAACTTTAGTAGATCAGATTTTTCTTACAAGCACAGGAGCAAGACCTAGTAACATAGTTGGCAATCTTTAAACATTACAGAACATACCAACATATACATGAGCAAAGGGACAAGTGAGTCCTTATATGAAATCATCTTGTTCAATATTATCTACTCTGATAATATTTTGGGCTTTTTCTGAGGTCTTTTCCATTATTTGCCACTTTAACTTCAGGATGATTTTGATGTTGGGGTAAAATAGGAACAGTTGAAGGCAGATCATGTAAACAACTCTGATCATAGCTAGGAATACTGGGAGTTGTAGTCAAAATAAGTAAGTTTGCCATACTAGAGTTCAGTGTTTCTCAACCTGGGGGTCGGGACCCCTGGGCGGGTTGCAAAGGGGTTTCAGGGGGGTCGTCACAGACCATTGGAAAACATATTTCTGATGGTCTTCAGAACCCTTTTGACAGAGAAGGCTGAAGATCTCTCCAATTGCCCATCTCTTCCTTTTCGGCAACAGACAGCGAATCTTCCTACCAAAAGCCCTCCTCCAGAAACAGCCAAGGGGAGGACTATTTCTGAGACTCCAAACGGGGAGGGGAGAACAGGCATGCTTGACACATGGCAGCATGGTGCATATGTGAGGCTGGAGGGAGGCTCACACCAGCGAGTCCTTTCAAGGCACAGGGATTCTGTGTAGAAAGTTTGACCCAATTCTATTGTTGGTTGGGTTCAGAATGCCAAAACCCCACCAGTGTTCACATTTGGGCATACTGAGTATTTGTGCCAAGTTTGGTCCAGATCTATTATTGTTTGAGTCCACAGTTCTCTCTGGATGTAGGTGAACTACAACCAAAACTCACGGTAAATGTCCACTATAAATCCCAGCAACTACAACTCCCAAATGACAAAATCAATCCCTGCATCCCCACCAGTATTCAAATTTGGGCATTTCAGGTATTTGTGCCAAATTTGGTCCAGTGAATGAAAATATATCCTGCATATCAGATACTTACATTACGATTCATAACAGTAGCAAAATTACAGTTATGAAGTAGCAACGAAAATAATGTTATGGTTGGGGGTCACCACAACATGAGGAACTGTATTAAAGGGTTGCCGCATTCAGAAGGTTGAGAACCACTGCTATAGTTGAAGGGCATGTGTTAGATGAGAAAAACTAGAAGGCAGAGAAGGAAAACAGATAAAGTACAAGTGGATTGCCTCCCTTTAAAAAAATGGACCTACAAAAGCTTTATTTCTGTTTTGCTCCAGCTCTTGGTTTGCTATATATTTTAAAGGCTTTGCTTGGGGTATATACTGTTCCCTCAAGACTGACTATAAATTACACTCCAATGTCACTGAAGGAATTTGTTTAAAGATCTGAGGAAATTGATAGCTGTGTGGAATTGCGAGCCCATCTGTTCAGCCACACATTCTCCATCTTCCTCTGCGCCTCCGCTTCTAGCTTGTCTCTGCCTGCATGCCTTATAGCAATCTGGTCTGTGAATTTGGATAAGAACTTAAATTACGCCCACCCTTTGCATACCCGTGCTAACAGCAAAGCAAGGCAGACCACAACAGAAAGTAATACTGGGAGAGACAGATTGGCACTCAGGTTTAAAGATCCATGAGCTAACATTGTGCAGCTCTTTGTGTTTGGTCACTGATGTTAGCTTCTCTGCTGGAGTAACCACTAAATCCATTGTTGTGAGATGGCGAATTCACTTTCGGTTGTGTATCTACTCAAAGTCTATCCAGGAGTCCTCCCAAAGTTGGGTACCAGAATAGCTCCTGAACAAATCAGAGCATCTGTCATGGGTGCAGCCATAAAACAGAGTGTATTCACTGCCATCACAATGATTGATGGTCTCATGGATGGCCTCCTCTACCTTCTTGTGTGCGTCCATGTTCTTCATCCATTTCTTTCTTCTCATGTTTCAAAATTGCAATAACAACAGAAGGCGCATGTAAACAAAATATTCTTCTGTTGTAGCTTAAACATCTTTGTTTTCCTAAACTGAGGATGGTGTAAAATATTATAATTGTTATAGGGGGACATAAGTTAATGGTAGAGCTTTGAGTGTGGGAAGTCTCACATTGACTCCACTCTATCAAGTGGCTGGTGATGTGAAGGAGAGTTTGGAGTGCATCTGCCAGTCAGAAAAGTGGACAGTACTGAGCTGGATGGGCAAGCAGACTGACCACTTCATCACACTAGAAAAAAATACACTTAAAATCTGGTTTCTGTCTCCTGTAGAATTCTGGGGTTTGTAGTTTAGTGAGGCTGTTAAAGGCGCCTCGGTAAACTACAAACCCCAGAATTCTGCAGGAGGCAGAAACCAGATTTTAAGTGTATTTTTCTCTAGTTTGATGACGCCCTGACTCTGCATTGACTGTTTTGTGGACAGTTCAGCAATCACAGGCAATACATTCCAAGCATGGTAGCAGTGGCAACTGCTGGCAACTCTCTAGAGCAAGTATGGGCAATCTTCCGCCCTCCAGGTGTTTTGGACTCCAACTCCCACAATTCCTAACAGCTGGTAGGCTGTTATAAATTGTGGGAATTAGAGTCCAAAACACCTGGACTACCAGCGTTTGCCCATGCCTGCACCAACTATTCCAGTTTTGCAGTGACAGTCCCAATTAACTCTCTGTTGTCCCACTTTCTCAGTTGCTTTTAAAATGCTCCAGTTTCTCTTTACTCCTTCCTCTTTATTCCTTTGGCTTCAGCTTATTTCAGTTGCTGCTAAATTAGTATAAAGTTCACAAGTAATTTGTACTCTGGGTTGCTGCAAGTTTTCCGGGCTCTATGGCCATGTTCCAGAAGCATTCTCTCCTGACATTTTGCCCACCTCTGAGGATGCCTGCCATAGATGTGGCCAAAACATCAGGAGAGAATGCTTCTGGAACATGGCCATACAGCCTGGAAAACTCACAGCAACCCAGTGATTCTGGCCATGAAAGCCTTCAACAACAAATTTGTACTCTGTTAACACAGAAGATGAGAAAGGAAAGGAAAGTTGTCTCAGGGAAAAGCAAATAGTTGCTGCCTCTCCTACCTTGCATGTTCTTCTTGGTGAATAACGTTTGTTATCTTGACCTCACTCTGATGTTGATTGGTCACATATGTCCCAATTTTCCTCTTTGAAATGTTGGACAGTATATGTCTCTGAGGCACACTAAAATCAGTGGGGCTTGTTCAAGGATAGATGATATGTAAAGTCGAAGCCCAATTTAATCTGAATTAATTTGGTAGTGTGGTGGAGGCTCCTTCTTTGGAGGCTTTTAAACAGAGGCTGGGTGGCCATCTGTCAGGGGTGCTTTGAATGCAATTTTCCTGCTTCTTGGCATGGAATTGGACTGGATGGCCCATGACGTCTCTTCCAACTCTACGCTTCTATGATTCTATGAACACTAATTGAGCTAATTCAGATTTTATAATGCAAAGGCGTGAAAGTGAAAGTCTATGGGGTCTTGTTCTTCTAGAAGTGAGGTTCACATCCCAATTTTCCAGCCAATATGGCTACTGAGGAGGAATTCAGGAGCTCAAGTACCTGGAAGATGAAAGTTTGAGAACCACTGTTGTAGAGAGACATGAGGCAAAACTGCTTAGAGAGTAAATATGATGCTGGCTGCACTTTTGGTGACACATTTTGCTGGTTGAGTTTTGGTGCACTGATTTCACCAATGCAAGAAAGTGTGATACTGATGTGCAGATCTAATGCAGTGAGGAAATGCTTTCTGAATTAAAGGCTTAGCAGTCCCTCCAGGTTGCATATTTGCCAAAACTACATTTTTATGTGAGAGAAACATAAGGTTGGATTGCAGGCGTGCATATATAGCAGAGAGATATTTCTGCTTAAGGAGTTATAATTTTGGACAAGAAACGATTCATGAGACAAACAGCCCTCACTATGCAATGCATCGATAAGACAACATATGGGACTTACGTGAGAGAGCCTGGTATAAATCGTAGCTTGCATAGGATATGTGTCTGTATGTGAATGAATTGCCCTATTTGTTTCAAGGAAAGAAGGAGATTGGTGCATGCACAGGAGCATTTGCATGGCCATTTACCTTCCCAGAGGTAAGTCATTATCAATATTGAGGATGGGTTCGCTTTTGCATCTGGGAAATGAACATGTTACAGGCAGGCAGGCAGCTGCACTTGGGATTGGAGAGCAAGTGTCATGGTCTACAGATGAACAGCCTGGAGGTCAAATCCATTTTCTCCACCTCCTCCACATGCAAACCCAAAACACTGAAGGATGTTTATAGGAAGAGTAGCAGCTGTGAACATGAAAGATGCTGGTAGTGCAATATGGTAAAAGTGAAAGTCCTCCAGGCATCTGCATTCTCCCCATTTCTTAAAATTGCCTTTCCAGACGTCTTGCCAGCCAGTCTGTTAATATATTGGCAGTGTATTTTGCATATACTATGTTTTGCAATAATAAGAAGCCCGCTGTTGCAAGAATTAGATTACACGCCTTTTGGGGCGGTGTGCATTAACCAAAGCATACTCATCTCTTCTCTTCCTTTGCCTCCAAAAGGCCAATTGTTCCTAGATGTACACAGACACAAATAACTCCCTCTGCCCCATTGCTACCTTTTATGGAACACTTTGCTTTCTGTTTATTTATTTCCTTCATCGTTCTTCTATTTCTTAAGGACTTGCTGATGGCAGAAAATCCTGATTTCAGTCGCTTTGTGAAAGATCCTTTCTACGTGGTGGGTGCCGGAACCAGGTAGATATATATGAATCTATTTGTGTGTGATAAACGTATTGGACTGTCTGTGTAGTATTTTTGATACAAAATAATAAATGGAGTTGTTCTGTGTATAACTAGGGATTGATAAGTAAAGGTAAACGCTCCCCCTGACATTAAGTCTAGCCGTTTCGGACTCTGAGGGGTGGTGCTTATCTCCATTTCTTCTGCGGGAAGGTAATGGTGCTCTCCATGCAGTCATGCTGGCCACATGACCTAGGAGGTGTCAATGGACAACGCTGACTCTGTGGCTTAGAAAAGGAGATGAGCAGCACCCCCCAGAGTTGGACTCAACTAGATTTAATGTCAGGGGAAACCTTTACCTTCACTATACCTTAGTTAATAAAGTAGATATGTTCCTGAGCACTACCTTATTAACAGAAAACGTCATACTAGGGGTGGAAATAATGTGGGAAAGAATGGAGAGAGGGTTGTCTTCTCTCTCTTTCTGTTGTTTACATATGTTTTTAAATCATTTTATGTACATGCAGCCTGCTCTCTGTCATTATGTGTGGTTTCTATGTTTTGTGTGCATTGTGTATATTGTTTATATGCTTTGATGTTTTATACTTTATTGTTATACTGTTTATTTTATTGCAATTTGTATTTTTGTATTGTAATTTGTTGTTCGGGCTTGGCCCCATGTAAGCCGCTCCGAGTCCCCATTGGGGGAGATGGTGGCGGGGTATAAATAAAGATTATTATTATTATTATTATTATTATTATTATTATTATTATTATATGCTTTGTAAGGGGACTATAGAGGGGTCTTCTGTTTACCTTGCCTGTTTCAGGCAGGCACACACATTATTACAGTAGGATCCACTACAGTAGAATTTCATGCTTCCTGATTTCAAGCTTGATTGTATTGTTTATTGCAGACACATTTCGGCAACCTGGTATTTATGTCTCTCTCTTCCCATGCTAATAAAAATCTTACTGTAAGTGAGAAGAGGCCATATGGGTGTAAAAAGACTTTATTAAAAAGTAACTTTATTAAATGTGGTTTTGTTAAATGTGATGTGCCTTTAGTTCAGTGGTTCTCAACCTGGGGTCCCCAGATGTTTTTGGCCTACAACTCCCAGAAATCCCAGCCAGTTTACCAGCTGTTAGGATTTCTGGGAGTTGAAGGCCAAAAACATCTGGGGACCCACAGGTTGAGAGCCACTGCTTTAGTTGGAAAGCTACAAGGGAGGACCATGTAGGGATTGCAAAAATCCTGCCTGAAACACTGGAAAGCTGTGGACTGGTAGAGAGACAATACAGGATTGATCTGATGCATCAGAAGGCAGCTTCCTCTGTTCTTGATGCAGAAGCCTTAGAAAGTACCATAACTATGATAACAGAACATCTTCCATGTTACAACGAGTAGAATGGTGGGGATGAGGATCTAACCTAGGCGTGGGCAAACTTTGGTCCTCCAGGTGTTTTGGACTTCAACTCCCACAATTCCTAACAGCCGGTAGGCTGTTAGGAATTGTGGGAGTTGGAGTCCAAAACACCTGGAGGACCAAAGTTTGCCTATTCCTGGTCTAACCATTCTGTATTAGCCAAAGTTATCAGAATCCTGAGTGCTTTCTTCTGATGGATTCTGAATATCTTTTTACCACTTATGATGACTTCAGTTGCAAAGAGCTGCAGATAACAGCTGGGAAATGGAAGGAATTCCACCTGCTTTGCCATAGTTGGGAGTCGAAGCCAGGTTTCTAATATGAGAGTGCCATGAACAGAGGGGAACAAACTATGGTTTATGCCTCCCCATGTGAATCTTGCAAATAGAGGGGTTTTTTTTAGTGGCATTGCAGAAAAAAAAAACATTCTGGTTGTCTTCCCATCCTCTTCAGTCTTTCAAGCCGCATTGTGCTTTGGAATTTCTACACAGCCTTTTAAATAACTAGATTGACACTCGCAAAGTAATAATCCAACAAGAGTAGGAGATGGGTTATTAACCAATATAGATTACTGCCAAGGCTGACATTCCTAACTGCTTATTACCATCTTAAAGCCTTTGGATTGCTATTGCTGCATCAGCAATATATACATTACATTAAGCGAATTCCTCTGGGGAGAAATTTCTGTCGTCAGATTTTTTTAAAAAAATTCTAACTTATAATCAATTGCATTCAAAGAAAAGGTGATAGTTACAGCAGCCGATTAGATAAATATGCAAACGAGCAGGGCTTTATATGTTGTTACGAGGGGCGTTCATTAAAGATTTCCCCTGACCCACTTCCTGTGGACTGAGAGCAATGAAACTTGGCACAATTATGAGTCCTCCTCCCCATGGTTTTTTTTTTTGGTCGTGTGAGGAGTAACTTGAGAAACTGCAAGTCACTTCTGGTGTGAGAGAATTGGCCGTCTGCAAGGACGTTGCCCAGGGGACACCCGGATGATTTGATGTTTTATTGTTCTTTGTGGGAGGCTTCTCTCATGTCCCCACATGAGGAGCTGGAGCTGATAGAGGGAGCTCACCCGCCTCTCCCCAGATTTGAACCTGCAACCTGTCAGTCTTCAGTTCTGCCAGCACAAGGGTGTAACCCACTGCGCCACTGGTGGCTCTCTCTCCATGGGTGCCACCTAGAGACACACACTTCTCACATCTTTTAAAGCAACTGTAAACACCTCGCTTATAGAAGTTGGCAGGTTGCTCCAAAAACCATGCTTTGACTTTGCAAATCAGAGTCTCATCATCTGAAAAATGCTTGCCCTTCAAAATAACTTCATTGTTGGAAAGAGGAGGACGTCCAGTGGTGCAAGGTTGGGTGAACAAGGGCAATGGGGTCAAATTCCAAAGCCACAGGAGCATGATTCCATTTGGGCAACATGTGAGTTGTGAACTGGTGCATTGTCTTGCAGAAGGCAGGCACCTTTGGTGAGCATGCCACATTGTATCTTGGTTTGGATGGCCACCTGCAGTTTCTGCAACAGTGAAGCATAGTATGTCCCAGTGATCATGGTACTCTTTGATAGAAAATCCATCAATCCTACTCCGTGCTGGTCCCAAAATACTGTGAGCATGACCTTGCCTGCTGAGAGTTGGGCACGTGCCTTCTTTGGAGGCGGTGAGTCATGATGCTTCCATTGCATTGACTGGACTTTAATCTCAGGATCATAGTGATGGGCCCAGCTTTCACCCTGTGTGATCAGTCTGTTGAAAAAGTCCTCCTGGTTTCCATAGCGCATTATCAATAGAGCCTGAGAGCATTTGACTCGTTCCTGCTTCTGGAAAGGTGTGAACAGCTGGGGTACCCAGCAAGCGGATACCTTACGCATGTGAAGATGGTTTTGGATGATTTTTTCTACAGACCCTGCACTCATCTTCACATTTTGGGCTAGGTGGCAAATGGTAATTCAGCAATTTTTCAAAATGGCACCCTCCTCTTGCTGGATGATGTGTTCATCAACAACAAAGTGGGTTCGCTCTGGAATTGGAGCTGTTTGCACCAAAGTCTGACCACATTGATGATGGCAGTTCTTGACTACATAATATGATGGGAAATCATCACCATAAACCATTTCCATCTCATCCAACACCTTCTTTGGTGTGCGGCCTTTCAAGCAAAGGAACTTGAGGACTGCTCTGTATTCCACTGGGTCCATTATCCAATCTCACACCAATTGAGCATCTGTAAAATGAAGACTGTTATCAGTTCTGAGTTGCAAATGGACATATAACCTATAGAGACTTATATCATTACACATGTGCAGTTTCAACGTCCTGTGATAAGTAGAAGTGGGTCAGGGGAAATCTTTAATGAACGCCCCTCGTAAAGTCAGTATAAACCTGGTGAGATAAAACGATAAATTAGTCATATCTCTGCCAACATTCTGAAGGTATTGCGAAGCCAGAAAAATTCTTCACTATCAGTAAGAAAGTGGAGGTGGGTGAAAGGACTCATACCTGGAATATTTGTGGGCTTGGATGAGTCTTTTAATAGCATTACCATTGGAAACTGGATAGTTATGGAGTGTAAGTGGAGATGTCTCAGGTGGAACAAAGAAAGGAAATGGAAAAAAGGCATAATTTATTTGAGGAAGGGGAAAACCCAGTTATTATCTGAGGGGAAAAACAAACCATGATGCAACTTTTAAAATATGCAGTTAATAGTAAAGGAAAATTGATCCCTAACACGGTGCCATATGCAGATCTCTGTGTGTGCATGATTTCTTTTTATGTTTAGAACATTGAGTGTGTTTCTAGTCTTCATTATTGAGAGCAAAATGCCTTTCAAGTGTAAGTAGTTTAGGTTGTGAAGACTGTGTTGTTCTTGAAAGAGAAAAATTATACTTACCTTGCCTTCCTATACTCAAGCATAAGCCAACCTGAATATAAGCCAAGGCGCCTAATTTTACCACAAAAAACCCTAGGGAAATGTAATAACATTAATAATAAAGTAAAATAATAATAATAATAATAATAATAATAATAATAATAATAATAATAGAATAAGATAATAAATGTAATAATAATAATAATAATAATAATAATAAATAGAGTAAATAATAAGTGTAATAAAATAATAATAGAGTAAAATAATAAGTGTAATAAAATAATAATAGAGTAAAATAATAAATGTAATAAAAATAATAATAAATAGAGTAAATAAGTGTAATAAAATAACAATATTAGAGTAAAATAAATGTCATAATAATAGAGTAAAATAATGTAAATTTAATAATGACAATAATAATGGAGTAAAATCATAAATGTAAAAATAACAATAATAAATACAGTAAAATAATGTAAGTGAAATAATAATAAGTTGAGTAAAATGACAAATACACTATTCACTCTTCTCTTTATATGTTATTAATCAATATATTTATTTGCACAACAGTTTTAATTGTTTGTTGGATTATATTTTATGGCTGTGTTTTAAGTGGCATTGAATTTTGCCGGAGCTGTAAACTGCCTTGAGTCCCCCAATCGGGTGAGAAAGGCAGGGTATAAATTAAGCTAAATAAATGTAATAATAATAATAATAATAATAATAATAATTATTATTATTATTATTATAGTAAAATAATTCAAGTGTAATAATAATAATAATAATAAAGTAAAATAATAAATGTAATAAAATAATCATAATAACAGAGTAAAATAATGTAAATGTAATAAAAATAATCATAATAACTTAAATTAATAAATAACTTTGACTCGAGTATAAGCCGTGGGGGGTTTTTTTCAACCTAAAAAAGGGCTGAAAAACGCAGCTTATATTTGAGTATATACAGTAAATCCGGACCTTCCTTTCTCCCCTATTGTCCATCTATCTCCCCTATTCTTTCATGTTAGGGTGTGTTTTCTGTTAATGATGTAATGCTCATGAATTCATCTACTTCATTAACCAAGATCTAACTCATTGCTCTTGGATGCAATGAGAAACTTAAGTGTATGCAAATATTCCTCTTTTGGCTGGATTTTTATTGTTGGATTCAGAATTCATACTTTGAAGTTTGCCGGTTGTTTTATAAAAGTAGTGACATCTAGTCCTCACATTTGTATAGCATTAAGACATCTGCTAGAGGTATTGACTTCTCTTCCCTAAGCATTCTCATTCTTGAACCCTGTCTCAGATTGTTTGGCAGCAAAGAAAGAAGTCAGATGGAGAAATCAGCTTTCACGCACTACCACCCCCATCTTAATCGTGGCAGTGAGGGTGTCAATAGTTCATCTGCACTGAATGAGAGCCAAAAAGTCCTAGAACCCCCTAGGCATCTCGGCAGGATTTCTGCATTTTCCACACCATCAACAGAGACGAAAGGTCGCAGGTCTGATTCTAAGCAAGGCACCAGACATATCAGTCTTTCCAGATCTGGCTGGTCATCTCCTCATGCTGCTAACTCCATGTCAAGTCCTACAGATTTCCAGGTTGCTGCTGAAGGTCTAGTACCCAGGCGGCAATCCAGATCTGACAAGGACAACCATAGCAAAGTTCAGACCCAGATTCTGGAGAATACCACCCCAACCCCTGAGGAGTCAACAGAAGAAGCATCTTGGAGGTGGAAAGGATCAGTGTCTCAAAGATACCCCCCGCCTAAGCTTAAATGGCTCAAAGAGAGTAGCGTCACAAGGAGCTCCGTGTCTCCTCAGACACCTGGGCAGAAAGTCTTCCCAAGGTGGCAAAGCTTTCCATCTCAAAGCAGTTCCTGTTCTGACCCAGAGACCCCTTCTAGCCAAGGAAGACTCTCACTCCGCATTTCCGAGTCTTGTCTCCAGATGTCTCCTCCACCGCTTCCTCAAGAAGAAAGTGACGATGATGTTTTCCTTAAAGACGGGCAGCCATGTCCCACGGGCCCTGCTTCGGAGAGTTCACCCCATCCATTGCCACCTCCGCTTCCTGAAGGGAGCCCCAACACCATTGCAGGTGACATGGAAGAATTCCCACCTCCACCTGCTGCTATCTTGGAAGCTGATGAACCTGCAGCACAAAACTCTACAAACCTTGGAGAGGAGGAGTCTGAAGCAAGGTATGGTTCTTGAATTGGAGCTCAATAAGGAGCTTAAGTCTTGTGTTCTTCATTCTTCTTTGATTTTCTACTTGGCTTAGCTTTAATATATGGCAGTGGTTCCCAACCTGTGGTCCATGGACCACCAGTGGTCCGTAAGAACTAAAATGTGGTCTGCAGCCCCAGCATTACTACACCGTTGCAATGAGAGTTACTGGTGTCACGAAACCGTGCTATAGTGCTGTGACAATGGGGAAGTCAGGAGGGAAGAGGTTGACTACCCACTAAAGGTGCAACAACAAGCCTCCAGACTGCTGCTTCTCCTCCTCCTCCATCCCCATGAGCGGAGCCACTCCACGTGGTACCTGGAAGCAGGGGCGCCTTGGTGCCTTCATTTTTAGGCCTGTTCCTGGGGTTATTTGGGGTGCTGATTCAGAAAACTGCATTGGATAGACCGCATCAGCTCTAGATTATTAAATATAGTTTTCTCTGGGTGAGCAGATGGTGACTACTGGATGGCATATGTTCTGTATCAGAAACTAGAGTTGATATGGTCTATCCAATACAATTTTCTGAATCAGCACCCCAAACTGAATCTAAAGTTAACCAAACACTGATTCGTAACCCTTTTGGTACTAATGTTGGAGAGTGGTCCCTGGTCAAGAAAGGGTTGGGAACCGCTGGTATATGGGGAAAGGACCTTGGGGTTATTGAAAGGGAGAATGGAAATGGAATAGAAAGGGAGGAAGAAAAAAAGGAGTGCAGCAGCCCCTTTAAGACAAAGTGGTTTTTAATTTTGCATGGACTTTCAGGAATATAAACCCACTTCTTCAGATGCAGTACAGAGTGATACATTTTGCAAATCTGATAAAAGCAGACACCCCCACCCTCCCGAACAAATCTTGCCAAGAAACCCCTTTGATAGGTTCATCGCAGGGTTGCCATAAGTCCAAAATAACTTGATGGTACACAACAACAACAACAACAATAACAACATTTATTGATTGATGGCCAGTGGCGGTTCATGCTGTCTAGAGCTGCTAGGATTGAAATCCATCCCATCTAGAGCTCGTTTCGAGATAACTTGCACAGTGCACCTTCAAAATCAATGAGATAAAATCCAAGTAGAGGTGCGGCTAAGCTTCACATTCCATTAGGAAATGCGCAAATAAAAAATTCTCTCATTTATTAACAGAAGCTCGAAAAGGTTTCCCAAGAATGTTAGTGAGAAGGAAAAAGAACCAAACACAACCGCTCCCAAGAGTGGCCATGCTGCTTCTCTTCCATCTACTACAAGCTCAGGATCCAAAGCAAATGGTGCCACACCTTCCTTGGAAGCACAACAGCAGCAGAATCCAGCCAACCAAGACTCAGTGGATAATGCCCCTCTCAATCCGCCCAGAGATCTTACCGAGACAAGTGGGGAGCCTGAAAACGAGAGTCCTGAGAATTACACAGGGAAGATTAAGAGCCCGGAGGATATCAAAGAGGAAGCCTTAGCTAAGGAAATTATCCACAAGGATAAGTCATTAGCCAGCATCTTGGATCCAGACTCCAAGATGAAGACCACCATGGATTTGATGGAAGGGATATTTCCCAGTGGAGACAGGTTGGTGAAAGAGAACAAGAAGAGGAAAACAATGCAGAAAAGGCCCAACAGTCCCGCCAGTAGTTCCGTTCCAGATGATAATAGGTAAGCACCATTTTCTTAAGATTTTCCCCCTTCATGCACATGCATGCACTTGCTCTTCTCATATAAGTCAAGTTTCTTTTGAATCTCTGAGCCATATTTGGATCTATTATGTACTGCTACCAATTTATGCAATTGTCCCACAGTTTGTATTCATTTGTTGGTATCTTGATTTCAGTAAGGCCTTTTGTTGTCGAGCAATTTAGAGTGGCTGTGGATAGAGAGATCCAAGCCATTGTGGGTTGCCTGGTGAGAAAAGAAGCCGGTATTCCAGGATAAATCTCACCAAGTTGAAGAGAAAGCCACCAAGGTTTTATTTCATTCCAGCTGGCAAGGATGACGATTGCAGTAGCCTGTGAACAAATCAACATAACCCACTGGACAGAGAAATACGATATATATAGCCTTCAGATTCAAAAGTTCCCATGCTCACCCTCACCCCTGAGCTGGCTTTGTTATGATTGGCTGTGACATCAGCAAGCCAGGAGAAGATCCAATGAGGACTCTGGCCCTGCTTTTGGCCACCCAGTCAATGTGGTAGAAGTGAGGCAGGCAACAGGGAAACAATGAAGAAATGTCTACTTGACTGGATTAAGAATGGCCGGTTTTTGCCAAATGGCTGGGTGATAGCTTTCGGCTCTCAAGCCTGGCCTAGGTTATTGTTTGATTCCTTGAATTAACATTCTTATCCGGCCCGAGAGGCCAGGTCCTTTGTCACACTGTCCTGCAATATGGAGTTCATTGATGACGTAGATGCTAGTTTTGGGAGATCAGGATGTGGCACAGCAGGGAGGCAGATGACAAATACCCGGTTCCTCTCAGATGGAGAGATGTCCATTGTGTTGGGTGATCCAAAGTGTCCATAGACCCCATCATTCTGGATGGCCTGGCTATTAGCCCCTCAAGGTCCGGTAAGACAGAGCCATTTACTTATTGTCCATGCAAATGGGCTTGGTGAAATCCATTGTTAGGGAATTATTGACTCAGGGAGTTTGGAAACCCCAAGAGCCATGAGTTGCTGATTCATGAAAAGGTTGCTTTCCTTCATATTTTCTTATATAGACATACATAGATATAGCAAATGAGGAATGGGGCAAGGGAGCATACACAGAGTTCATAGGAAAAGGAGGAATCCTGCAGGGTCTAAGGGGAAGTCGTCACCCCCCCAAGTCCATAAAAGTCCATAAAGTTTGGCAAGAGTTTATAAAAGTTCCTGTAAGGTTCATGAATGTTCATAAGAACTCATAAGAATTCATGGGTTGGGGAAGTTCAGGGGAGCACTGAGTAGTTGAAGTCCATTCATAAAAACAGGAAGAGAGATGGGGAATTATGGGATTAATTCAGTGTCCTTGGCAAAACTATGAATTCCCTGATTTTGAACTATCTTTTACAGAACGCTGGAGGGGCGGGGGGGGGAGGGGGTCACCTCCGATCACATTTTGACAAGGTGATTCTGTAGTCTTTCAGACATGCTAATGAAATGTGGGCTAGACAGCACTACTGTTATATGGATTTATAATTGGCTGCTAGACTGAACCCAGAGAGTGGTCATAAATAGTTCCTCTTAATCCTGGAGAGAAGCAGCATAAGGTTCTGATGTGGACTTAGTGCCAGTGCATATCTTTAAAAACGAGTCGGATGTTGAAATGGAAGGCATTTTGATCTGATTTGTAGACAATGCCAAATTAGGAAGGATAGCTAACAGTCCAAAAGATCAGATCAGGATTCAAAATGACCTTGCTAGACTGGAGAACCAGGCCAAAGCTAACAAAGTACATTTCAGTAGGAGCCAATGTGCTACACTATATTTAGGCAGAATACATGAAATGCACAAACATAGGATGGGGTAAACTTGGATTCAAATCACTGTAGGAAAAGGCCAGGAATTGTGCCTTTTCTAGTAATATGAGGGGTTTTGTTTTAGTTTTAGTAGATGACTCAACGGAGACAGGATCCTTGAAAGTAGACAAACAAGATGCTTAACAGGAGGATGTTGACTTGACATGGACAATAGTGAAAATATGGTTGATTTGCACCATCTTGTGGCCATTCTAATTGATGCAACTTCCCAAGGCCTTGGAACATAAGGCTCACGGGTTGCATGATGCCCCCTAGACCAGTGGTTCTCAACCTTCCTAATGCCGCGACCCCTTAATACAGTTCCTTATGTTGTGGTGACCCCCAACCATAACATCATTTTCATTGCTACTTCACAACTGTAATTTTGCTCCTGTTATGAATCATCTTGTAAATATCCAATATGCAGGATGTATTTTCATTCATTTGGCACAAATACTCAATACACCCAAATTTGAATACTGGTGGGGTTGAGGGGAGGATTGATTTTGTCATTTGAGAGTTGTAGTTGCTGGGATTTGTAGTTCACCTACAATATCAAAGAGCATTCTGAACTCCACCAGTGATGGAATTGAACCAAACTTTGGACACAGCTCCCATGACCAACAGAAAATACTAGAAGGGTTTGCTGGGTATTGACCTTGAGTTTGGGAGTTGTAGTTCACCTACATCCAGAGAGCACTGTGGACATGATGGATCTGGACCAAACTTGCATGAATACTCAATATGCCCAAATGTGAACACTGGTGGAGTTTGGGGAAAATAGACCTTGACATTTGGGATTTGTAGTTGCTGGGATTTATAGTTCACCTACAATCAAAGAGCATTCTGAACCCCACCAACGATAGAATTGGGCCAAACTTCCCACTCAGAACCCCCATGACCAACAGAAAATACTGTGTTTTCTGATGGTCTTTGGTGACCCCTCTGACACCCCCCCCCCAGGGGTCCCGGCCCCCAGGTTGAGAAACACTGCCCTAGACCCTGAGGCCCTAAACACTTTTGATTTAAAGATTGATATAATTTTTGTGTGTGTGAAAATCACCCCCAAATACCCAGAATTTTAAAACATCCCAAAGTCAAACATGTAAAAACACTCATCCCTGATAACAATTTGAGTGTGTCTTAATTAGCACATGAATTCCAAAAAAACTGTCTCTGGATTCTTTTGCGTATGTGTGTTTGTGTCCTGTTTCAGGAAAGACGAACCTGCCGCAAAGGAGTCTGCCATGACATTGGTCTCCTGTCCGGCTTATTACAATATGTCTGGACCCAAAGCTGAGCTTCTGAACAAAATCAAGGATATGCCTGAGGAGGTCAACGAAGATGAAAAAGAGGTGGACATCAATGAAAAGAAGGTGAGCAACAGAGGGGGTCAGGAAAGTAAGCGGAGATGTGTGGATTCCACATTTCTGTGGCTACGCTTTGAGGAGTGTAACAACAAAAAACCAAAGTCCAGAAATTGAAATAATTTACATTAGTTTTTTTTAAAAAAAATGATGCTTGGAATTAATAATAATAATAATCATAATCATCATCATCATCTTTAAAATCAGGATAAAGAACAACAATTCCGTCTTTGGAAGCTTTTAAATAGAGGCTGGATGGCCACCTGTCAGGGGTGATTTGAATGCAATATTCCTGCTTCTTGGCAGGGGGTTGGACTAGATGGCCCATGTGGTCTCTTCCAACTCTTTGATTCTATGATTCTATAATTCTATGACTAAGAAAACAGGGGAATTCCAGACATGAAACAATCAGGGCCAGCTTACACCCTCCCAACAAAGAATTCCCCCAGGCAGCAACCAGCCAGGCCTTGAAGCTGCAAGGTTTTGCAATGCTAATCAAGGTGATTACAATATTCACACTTGCCTCCAACAGACAAGAGTTTCTCCCACCCTGGACCTACCAGATATATAAACCTCTCTTGCTTAGTTCCCAATATACCTCACAACCTCTGAGGATGCCTGCCATAGATGTGGGCACAATGTCAGGAGATAATGCTTCTGGAACATGGCCATACAGCCTGGAAAACTCACAGCAACCCAATGATTCTGGCCATGAAAGCCTTCAACAACACAACAACAACAATAACAAAAGTAGTAGTAATAATAATAATAATAATAATAATTTATACCCCACCCCCTCTCTAACAGGGCTTGGGGCAACTTACAAAAATAAAAAGACCAAGGCAAGAATAAAAACATAACACATAACGACAAAATAAAAAAAACCCACAGCAAACTAAAAATAACATTATCATTTGAAAATACATGGATGGATTTAAAAACATATTGTGCATCAGGGCAAAACCAGTTCAAGCCAGCTGGTGTTTGCCCAGCTATAAAAAATGAACATCAAGGTAAGTTATAATTAGTCATTTTCGAACACCTGCTTCCATGTCCATGTTTTCAATTCTTTCCTGAAGCTATCTAGAGAGGGGGCCTCACTGATTTCTTTGGGAAGGGCATTCCAGAACCAGGGAGCCACTACCGAGAAGACCTTTTCCTGCATTTCCACCAGCCGTGATTGTGAGGGTGGTGGGACCATGAGAAAGGCCTCTCCACAGGACCTTAAGGCCCAAATGGGTTCATAGCAGGAGACATGGCCACGCAGATAGATGGGACCCGCTTGGTCCTTGGCCCTTACTTCAGCAAATTACGGGTTGTTGTGTTTCAACAATATACCTAAACATTTGTAATGTTATATATAAAGGTAAAGGTTTCCCCTTGTCGATAAGTATAGTTGTGTCCGACATTTCCATTTTTAAACTGAAGAGCTGGCATTGTCTGTAGACACCTCCTAGATAATGTAGCCAGCATGACTGCATAGAGCCATGTTACCTTCCTGCCGGAGCAGTACCTATTGATCTACTCACATTTGCATGTTTTCAAAAGGCTAGGTTGGCAGAAGTTGGGGCTAACAGTGGGAACTCACCCCGCTCCCCGGATTCAATCCGCCAACCTTTCGGTCATATATGGGTTACATAAAAACATGAAAAATTAATTAATCTGCCGCACATTTTGCTATAGTTTTTCAATGAATATCTCATCGAGTCTCAACCAATTCAACATAGTTTGTGGCAGGCACAAAAACAAAGTTTCTGGAGGATAACAACTACTTTCAAAGTAACTACCACACAATTAAACAGGAAAGAATACTTTCAAACCAGGAACAGAAATTCAAATTTTGTTACATAGTGTAGTAGTAGTGGTGGTGGTGGTGGTGGTAGAATTAAAGATTGATTCTTGCTCAATTCTGTCCTTCCAGGCTGAACTTATTGAAAGCTTGTCCCATAAAATGGAGACCTTAAAAGATGCCAAGGAAAGCTTGTTGGCAGATATCAAACTCAACAATGCCTTGGGAGAAGAAGTAGAAGTTTTGGTCAGTGGTCTGTGCAAGCCAAACGAGTTTGAAAAATACAAGATGTTCATTGGAGACCTGGATAAGTTAGTCAGCCTCTTGCTATCGCTCTCAGGACGCCTGGCACGAGTGGAGAACGTTCTCAGCAGTCTCAGCGAAGATGCTGACAATCAGGAACGGGTATGTACATTCAGAAAACTAGTATTTACTCCCTCTCACAAATTCGCAATAGACTTCCTTTTTTAAAAAAAATGCACAATTTTAGAGTAACATTTGCTCCAAAATCAAATAAAAAGCTACCCAAACACAGAAAGCCATTAGGCTTGTGCACGGATTCAGAGAAGTCGGTTCCCTTTAGTTAATTGAAAACCGGCTGCTTTTGGTTATAAGCTCCACATCGATCTCTTCCTTTCCTGGGAAATGGGGAAGCCTCCTTAAAATGTATTGTCGAAGGCTTTCATGGCCGGAATCACTGGGTTGTTGTAGGTTTTTTCCAGGCTATATGGCCATGGTCACCATGGCCATATGGCCCGAAAAAACCTACAACAACCCACTCCTTAAAATGACTTGGAAAGCTGCATGCTGCAGGGAGAGAGCATAGTGTGCGCTTGCAGCGCCTGTCTCCTCTAGAGTATAAACAGCTTTAACTAAGCATTAAACCCAAAGCAGAAAGGAGATTGAAGCGTAAGGGGGGAAAGGCATCACTCCAGGGTCTGCAAATCAAGAGAAAAGAGAGGGCTTTTTAAAGGAAGCCAAGATGGGCTGGATAGAAAACGTATCTTTTGGCTTCCCTGATCAAAAACAGATTTCTGTCCTCCCGAATTTGGGAGGCTTCTGAAAAATGGATCGAGACCCCCTCTGAAATCCAGAACATCGAAATACCCAGTTTACCCAGACTACACAAGCCTAGAAGCCATATAAAAATTCCCCATTAGAATCCTAGAACCTCAAACTACCTAAATATACTTCATTTGCAGTTCCTCTCAGTATGGGAATAGGAGTAATGTCATGTCCTGTGATTGTTTAGAGAGCGGATGCAGAGGAAAACGGGGATATTTAGATTTGCAGTGTGAAGTATATATGTACAGTCCAAATGGGGAGTTTCTGGCATGAAAAGGGTCCCCGATTCCCATGATTTTCCCACTTTGGTAAACCTTTCTTTTCCCCTCCCTTTTCTTTTTGTTGTCCATCCCCAACTGGGGACAGAACTCTCTGAATGAGAAGCGGAAAATGTTGGCCGGCCAGCACGAAGACGCCTGCGAGCTGAAGGAGAACTTGGACCGTCGGGAGCGTGTCGTCTTGGATATTTTGTGCAATTATCTCTCGGAAGAGCAGCTTCGGGACTACCAGCATTTCGTGAAGATGAAATCTGCGCTCCTCATAGAACAGCGCGAGCTGGACGACAAGATCAAGCTGGGGCAAGAGCAGCTCAAGTGCCTTCGAGAGAGCCTCCCCTCGGACTTCACCCTCCCCAGCAAAAAGGCAGCCGAGCCTTCGGAGACCAGCAGTAGCCACAGACCTCCGCCTCCAACGTCCTCCCTCTGACCAGATGGGATCGTGTCAAAACCTTCTTGAAATTTTATTTAATCAGAGACAGCTTTTAACTTTTTAAATCGATGATGGGATTCGCTGTTTCCTTTTTGTTTTGTTTTGTTTTTGTAATTAACATAGGGAAAGCTTTCTCTTTCGTCTTCTTGAAATTACAACCGAAACCTCTCTCAATCCCATGAGAAGGGACTGGATATCTCTGGCTGAAAGAGATGCAGAAAGAAACCAGCCGCATGTGACTCTCCAAAAGGTTGGCTCGTCCTAGATGAACACAAGCTAGTTCCAACTTGAAAAGGAGTCTTGGGGGGCCCCTTTGAGCCCCGGTGGTCACTCAATAATGAAGGATATACAATAATGAAGCCTTAAACTATTAATGAGATACCTGCTGTCTTGAACAATATCGGTATTTATATTTTTTTGAAAAGTACAAGATAGAATTCTGTAAAAAAAAAATTGTATATATACGCTAACCAGTTATTTGATTCTACTTCAATGTGGATGTAGGAGAAAACGTTTAATTATTATTATTTTTGGTACTTAACAGAGGAAAACAAAAGAGGAACCCTCCACATGCCCCCCAAAACACCATAGTCACACACCATAAAGTTGGAGTAGTGGTAGTGAGTATCTCTTAAAAGACTAGCAGGGGAAAAATAAGCTTCAGGGCCTGATCCAGGGAGGTTAGTGCGTGCACATGGAAAGGTTGCATGCAACTACTCGTTTGTGTGCAAGTTAGACCAAACATGATGCGTGGATGCAGAATTATGGCGACCGTAGGAGACCAATGGAAAATGCACTCTCAGTTTTACTGGGTGGAGATCCCCAGTTATAGTGCTATGGGTCATGTCCACACATGCGCAGACATAGATATACAACCTATGGATCTGCCTCCCAATTTTGGCATCTTCATGAGCAACACTATGTGTGATACACACATAAATCTCTGCCCACTCCAACCCACTTGGCAGGATCCAGTGCAGGTTTATGAGCAATCTTCCATGTGCAGAATGCCTCTCCTCTGCCCAGCCCAGCCTTGGCGCACCAGGCAGTCACTGGCTTTGGGGCATTTCTCTCTTTCAGAACCCGCTGAATGTACCCGTAAGTGACCTTTCAGAGAAATCTTTGCACAGCAAAATACCGTCTTCCAGACCTGCAACGAATAAGCACTTGTGTGAACCAAACAACTCAGGAGTCAGCGTCAAACTGAAGCAAAGAGATTTTCTCCTTGACTTTGTCTTTCCCTCTCTTTCTCTCTCTTGAGCTCAGTGACCGGTTAAGAAAACAATAAAGCCAGAAAGCATGGAACTGCATGCAGCCTGCATTTATGTTTGAATGACTTCTTGAGGGGGTTCGTTTGAATGTTCTTATTTATAGAGTGCTTTTTTCCAAGTCCTCAGCCTTGGTTGTTTCCTTTTAAATGTGGCATTTTGTTTTGCTGACGCAAGTGGATCTGATCACCTTGAAAGTCAAATGTAGCCAAAATTGGGATCCAAACTGAAGTGCAACTTGAGTTGACTGTCTCACACTCCCTTTAATTCTCAATCAAGATATATGGTTCCTTTCTCCTCTGTAGATAAAGAAGGATCTACCTCCAGATGGTTTGCTGAGAATATCTGTAGAATTTATGTGTAACTTACTAAAGGAGTTGGGCTATTTCTTACTTCCTGTTTTCTTCGGTGGTTGGAAGTAAGGTTCTCTAAGACTCTCATGGTTTTTAGATTCATCTGAATCTAAGAAATTAAAATTTCTAGGGATTTTGTTGGGAATCTGAGCTGTTAGGCTCAAAAATAACCCTCAGTTGGGGTGATTCCACTATAAATATAGTGGGGTGCTAGAAGTAAACTTCATAACCAGCAAAAACTTATGTGTGGTTAATCCGGATGGTACAGGAATGCAGAGACAGAACTTCAGATTCAAAATATTTATTCAAGAAAAGAAATACATTCTAGATAGATAAGGTCTTGGTGCTAATCAGCTTGCTAAAACTCATCTTCTAAGGCAGTGGTTCTCAACCTGGGGTCCCCAGATGTTTTTGGCCTTCAACTCCCAGAAATCCTAACAGCTGGTAAACTGGCTGGGATTTCTGGGAGTTGTAGGCCAAAAACATCTGGGGACCCCAGGTTGAGAACCACTGTTCTAAGGGAAGGCAAAAGGGTAAAAAGTCAAAATATCCATGCAGTTACATTTTGCCTGGAGAGAGGCAAAATGCGTCCTCACTGGAAGGAAGACAAAGGCAGAAGGAGCCAACAATGGAGAAAGACCATATGGCCAAACCCAGGGCAATAAAAATACCTTTAAAGAGGAAATTACCTCATACCTCACATATACTCCATTGCAATATCTTCAAAGGGTGTGGGGAGATAGTGGCAAGGAAGAAGAGTAAAGACAAAGGCCCTTCTGGGATAAACATGCATAGGAATGTGGCGTGGGGGGGAGGAATATCTCACTCTAATCCTATCTCTAGTCTAGCTACTCATTCAGAACTGGGGACTTGATGACACAAGAGGCTTGTGTAGTCCAGGGATAAAACTCAACAGATTGCAACTTCCAGAATCCCCAAGAATTCCAGTTCAAAATAAGCTAACTTTTCCAAGCTCTGCGAGAAGTACATGCGTACATCTATAATTGTGGGAAATATGCAGATAATTCTTCCTGTTTTTCCTTCTTGTCTGCAAATCTCCTCCTTTTCATTTTCCCTTTCATCGGGGTTTCTTTGGATATCGTAACCCAACTCAAGAAAAGCTTTCTATTTAAATTCATAATGGAGGCTAGGGGAAAGGTGAAGTACTCCTGTTATTTGCCGGTCCTTCCTTACAAATTATCTTCTCCTCCCCAGTCAACTTTATGATGGAGATGCAAGATTAGGAACCCTGAAATGCCTTTGTAATGTTGAATTCCACTCCAAGTTACATTCCAGGATGTAAGATTATATTTTAGAGCACTTGTTCCATTTCTTCCCCTTTTATTGTACATGAATACCTGCTGTAATGCTATCTGACCAATAGGCTCTGTAAACAAATAGGATTCATACTGTGTATGTAAACAAACCCGACACTCCTGTATCATCCTTGTAGCGATTGCTCTGCATACTAAATGTTTGTCAAACCAAGGGGACAAACAGAGAGCCTTTAGCGGTGCTAGAGACAGAGGTGCTATTGGGTCACATCCTTCCGTGGCTCAAAACATGGAGGGGGGGTCCTTTCCCTCCCAAAATGTTGCCCCTGGGCTAATGCAAGGGCCACATTTTGCCCTCTATGCATATTACCTCAGTTACGTAGTAGCAAAGTTACATGAATGCAGTCCTTTTTCTCTTCTCCCCATGATTGCCTCACCTTTTAAAAAACAGCACATGTTCAGTTTTGGTTATCTGTTGGATCTGGCAACTGGTTTCACTGTAATGGACAGCCCTTGACTCACTGGTCAGACTTTGGCTACTTCTGATCTGAAGTTGTTCCTCCTTCCATGTTGAAAGGTCTATCCCTGCACCGTCTGCAAATGTTCCACTTGAGCATTATTTGCCCCTCTCGTCTGCAAATCCTGCTCATTGCAATGTGTCTCTGGGGCAAATTGGTCCCTCTTAAGTCCTCCTTTTTACACACATGAAGCAAAGGCTGCAAGAAGATGATTTAGATCAGGACACACTATAAATCCACCATATAGGAAGGGCTTAAATGCTGCTTGGTTTCCTCCAGGTTTTTATTATTATTATTCGTGTCAGGAGTGACTTGAGAAACTGCAAGTCAGTTCTGGTGTGAGAAACTTAGCCATCTGCAAGGATGTTGCCCAAGGAATGCCCGGATGTTTGATGTTAGACCATCCTGTGGGAGGCTTCTCCATGTCCCCGCATGGGAAGCTAGAACTGAGACAAGAGCTCGCCCCATTTCCTGGCTTCGAACCGCTAACATGTTGGCCAGCAATTCTGCTGGCACAAGGGTTTAATCCATTGCACAACTGGGGACTCCCATTTCCTCCAGTGCAAGATCACTAACCAAAACTGTCAGTGCAACCCTTCCTTTCTTATTATTCTTTTTCTTATTATGAACAGCTGCAGACCCACCAGACATCAACCTTGAATTAGAAACTCAGGTTTCCAGCAATTCCTGCTAGAGAAAACAACTATCATATCTTGACAATCCATAGAGTGGAAAAGTAAAAACAGTCGCATAAAATGTTCTCCTTTGCTCCATCCTCAGTAACTTGTGGATAAAATTGCAGCCGTTCTGAAATGCCAGTGTGTTCTTTGAATAGGTTTCTGTAATATGTAATCTGATCGAAACCCAAGATCAGTTGCAAACTGGGTTAGTTTTATGTATTGTTGAAGGCTTTCATAGCCAGAATCACTGGGTTGTGAGTTTTCTGGGCTGTATGGCCATGTTCCAGAAGCATTCTCTCCTGGCGTTTCACAGACCTCACAACCTCTGAGGATGCCATAGATGCAGGTGAAACATCAGGAGAGAAAGCTACTTGAACATGGCCATACAGCCTGGAAAACACACAACAACCCTGGGTTAATTTTGCCAAAAAATCCATAGTAGTTGTCAGCCCCTTATAAACATACTACTTGCCTGTATGATGCTTTTGGGGACTCTGAGGAATATGGATGGCGGGGAGGGATTTGCATCAAATTTTCAGAAAAATGTCCCAGGTTGATACCTTGGAGAGGATTCTTGTGTGTCCTAGGGAAAAGGATAAATAACTGTTGACAAGCAATTATGTGATGTGATTTTGCTGGCCTTAAAACGTGTGCCTGTTTTATGGCAGGCTGGGGTACAAGAGTTTTTGGGGTGGTTGGGTGAATGAGAGATGGCTTTACACCTGTTCTTTGTGGATTGCTTGCTGGGTTAAAGATGATGCTTGTTTGTTTTGGTTTTGCACTGCCACATTTGAGGATTGTCATGATTCTTGTGCAGGGAGGGGGGTTGGGATGAATGTACATCGTTCTGAAAGGAGATGGCGATGTGTGCTTGGAAACAATTAAAGGATCATAGTCGTCTGTGCAATGCTTCCTTCATCCTTTTGAGTGTGTCTTTCAAAGGTCTATTCACATCGTATGAAATAAAAACACAGCAGCACTGAGATACTTGTCGGCCTCTGGCAGATCTTGCCTTCTCATCTTCAATAAGGTTGTGGGGTCTTCAATTACATTTTTGGGAGGGGTTCAAGAAGTGCATTCCTTATTGAGATTTCCATCTATTGTATATTTGTTTCTAGGTTTGCACCCAGGGATGCACTATTGCTAAGAAGCATGTGACCTACGAGGGTTATCCAGAAAGTAAGATTATAAGGCACTTAGCTCTTGCAGGGAATTTTTGCAGGATAAGTTGGTATCACTGCTGTATAACGGGAAGGCAGCGGAAGCGAATGAGCATTGCCAGTCATCAGTAGCTCATTGACTGGCATTGTGGTGAAGGTTAGAGGTGAGCATCCTCATTCTATTTCCCTCCCAAGTGCAAAGTTTGCGCTTATGAGGGATATCCAGAAAGTAAGGTTACAAGATTTTTGAAAAAATACAAAGAATGACATCCCAGTTCTTATTTCACTTAGAACAGTGCTTCTCAACCTATGGGTCCCCAGATGTTTTGGCCTTCATCTCCCAGAAATCCTAACAGCTGGTAAACTGGCTGGGATTTCTGGGAGCTGTAGGCCAAAACACCTGGGGACCCAAAGGTTGAGAACACTGACTTAGCAGAAATTTTTCACTAGCACAAAGCTCTGAGCTATTGCTCACAAGCACACATGGATTCTCTTATGCAGAACAAGTAAGATTAGCAGCAGCTCTGAGGGAACACGTAAAGGTGAGACATTTTATAGCATAGGTATTACATAATTTTTCTACATAATCATAATTCAGTTCAATACATTTTGTCATCCATGGGAAGAGTTTTTGATGCCTGTGTCATAGAAGTCTCCTGCCACCTTTTTCAGCCATGTCATCAGTCACAATGGATGACCATCCATGTCTGTCTTCATTGTGAATTTCCATCCTTCAGCAACTGAAATTCCACAACAATTTTGCCACATGCCATCTTGACATTACATCCTCTCCATAAATTGAAACAATCTTTTGGTTCCCCATAGCACTTAGGTAGTGTATTACAGCGCGAACTTCGCATTTGGAGGGAAACGGAATGAGGATGCTAATCTCTAACCTTCACCACAATGCCAGTTGATGAGCTACTGACGACTGGACTGCTCGTTCACTTCCACTGATTTCCCTTTATATGGCAGTGATACCAACTTCTGTAAAAATTCCCTGTAAGAGCTACATGCCTTGTAACCTTACTTTCCGGATAACCCTCGTAGTA